CCAAGGCTTTCTTCTTACTCTGTCTTCGTCTGGAAGCTCTGCTGAAACCTGTCCACCACGGGTGACCCTGATGTATTGAAATGCTGGTGGCATAGCTTCCAACATCAGAGCAACATGCAAGCCTCCACAGTAGGACAAACTGACAGACGAGTGGTAGTGGTAATTACAACAGAACTCAGTTAATTTTAGGCTGGAAATAAGGGGAGATGGCATATGAAGAATGAGTGAGGTTTTGATAAGTAGATGCCATCATACCACAGGAAGGGAGTAGGTCTGGAGATGGGCAGGCAGAAAGTGCGCTTGAGGAAAATGAAAATAGAACAATTTGGGAACCAGCAGAGGTAGAGAAGGGTAGTGGCTAAAAGGTCGAGAGGGGTCAATGACTCTTGCAGAAGGTCATTAACCGTGGGCCAAGGAAGTTGGCCTTTATTTAGCAGGCAAAGGGAGACGTTAAGGTTCCTAAGTAGAGTCCCTGAATGGAAGAGCTGCAAGTACCCTCATGATGATCTAATCTAGTTCTTTTCAAACGCTGCTGTCAAGATATTCCTAAAGACAAAGAAGAGTGTACTTATACCTCATTGAATCAGGGGCTGTAGTTTAAATGACCACCACCACCAACTGCCATTGAGTTAATTCACAGCAACTCTCCCCTTCTCAACCTTGGGTTCCCCATTACCAGCTTTCCTATCCCCTCCTGCCTTCTCGTCCTTGCCCCTGGGCTAGTGTGCCCATTTAGTCTCATTTTGTTTTATGGGCCTGTCTAATCTTTGGCTGAAGGGTGAACCTCAGAAATGACTTCAGTACTGACTTAAAAGGGTGTCCGGGGGTCATACTCTCAGGGTTTCTTCAGTCTCTGTCAGACCGGTAAGTCTGGTCTTTTTTTTGTGAGTTTGAATTTTGTTCTACATTATTCTCCCACTCCGTCCAGGAACCTCTATTGTGATCCCTGTCAGCAGTGCATGAGTTCCAATCTTCCCTCAGCCTCTCCAACATTTGTTATTTTCTGTTTTTTTGTTTTGTGCTAGTAATGACAGGGTGAGATGGTATCTCATTGTGGTTTTGATTTACATTTCTCTAATGGTTACTAGCATTTCCTCATGTGTCTGTTGGCCGCTTGAATGTCTTCTTTGGTGAAGTGTCTGTTCATTTCCTTTACTGATTTTTTTAATTGGGTTATTTGTCTTTTTGTTGTTGAGGTTTTGCAGTATCTTGTAGATTTTGGAGATTAGACCCTGATTGGATTTGTTGTAGTCAAAAATTTTTTCCCAGTCTGTAGGTTGTCTTTTGACTCTTTTGGTGAAGTCTTTTGATGAGCATAAGTGTTTCATTTTAGGAGCTCCCAGTTATCTAGTTTCTCTTCTGGTGTTCGTGGATTGTTACTTATGGTTTGTATTCTGTTTATGCCATGCATTAGGGCTCCTAGCACTGTCCCTGTTTTTTCTTCCATGATCTTTATTGTTTTCAATTTTATATTTAGGTCTTTGATCCATTTTGAATTAGTTTTTGTGTATGGTGTGAGGTATGGGTCCTGTTTCATTTTTTTTGCAAATGGACATTCAGTCTTGCCAGCACCCTTTGTTAAAAAGACTGTCTTTTCCCCATTTAATGGACTTTGGGTCTTTGTTGAAGATCAGGTGACTGTAGGTGGATAGATTTACATCTGGGTTCTTCATTCTGTTCCATGGGCCTATGTGTCTGTCGTTGTCCCAGTACCAGGCTGTTTTGACCACCGTAGCAGTATAGTAAGTTCTGAGGTGAGGGAGTGTGAATCCTCCTACTTTCTTCTTCTTCTTCAAGAGTGCTTTACTTCTCTGGGACCTCTTCCCTTTCCATATAAAGTTCATGATTAGTTTTCCATCTCGTTGAAGAATGCTGTTGGTATCTGGATTGGGATTGCATGGTACTTGTAGATTACTTTGGGTAGAACTGACATTTTCACAATGTTGAGTCTACTCATCCATGAGCATGGTTATGTTATGTGGCTCACCAACCCCAGACTGAGGGACTCACCCAATCTTGTGCCATAATTTATGACTTCACTAATTCAGTAAAGTTCAGCCCTCATGGGTGTTCAAGGAGAGCAACAATTTTTTAAAAGATAGAAAACATAGGATGTTGGTGGGATAAGCATAATGATGTCTCTATGCCACAATTTCTCTTTAGGTCTTCTCGAAGGAAGACAGGAGGGAGTGCTTGAAAATCATAATATCCTGGAGAAATGGAACTCTATAAAACCCAGGCATGTATTCAGGGGAACTAGAACTCATTTTATCTGTAGATGATGCCAGTTTTACATCTTTCTCACCATCCAAGAACAATTTAAAACAAAATAGCAGAAATTAAAAAGACAACACAGTTTTTCAAACTGCTAAAATGAGTTTAGTGAGTTTAATAACAAGAAACTATTACAACTAGTAAAGAGGGACTTTTTAAAAGTTTTAGTGTGACATTCAAAATTTTAATTCCACAGTGCTGAGATGATACAAAATGCTTGGGTACAGTAGTGAAAATCGCAAATAACAGGATCTGAGTTTCATCACAATCTGCTAATTAATATGGCAACACGTTAACAGCAGAGCTGCAGAAGCAGGATTCTAATCAAGTTGAGGCCTGTATGGAACAGCCAAGAATGCCTCAAAAACCCACGAAAGAAGGATGCCAAGCACTGTACTAAAATATCTCCTCTGACACAGTTGGCTTTCCAAATATACACATATTTGGGTATATATATAAACAGAGAAAGAAAGGAAGGAAAAAAGGAAGAAAAGGCTGGCAGTCAACTTTGTGCTAGCATTTCTTCCCCTTCTCTGCATTTCTGTCAATCAAAAGCTAATGCAGACTTAGGAAAGCCTTGTCGTGGAGGTGGATGAATGGGCAGAGGGTGATCTCTTATTTTTATATCCATGCAAACTGGGGGCACTTAGAGCACTGGCTTCTCTACTGAGCCAGCTGTTGATGAGTCCACTCAACTCACGGCAACCTCATGTGTGTCAGGGTAGAACTGTGCTCCACAGGGTTTTCAATGGCTGATTTTTTTGGAAGTAGATTGCCAGGCCTTTCTTTAAAGGTGTCACTGGGTAGACTTGAACCTCCAACCTTTCAGTTAGCCGCTGAGTGCATTAACCATCTGTACCACCCAGGGACTCTGCTCTCTACTGGAAGGCCAGTATTATTTTGAGGGAAGCAGGGTATTTGTCATCCACTGAGTCAAATAAAAATTGCTTCATTTTCAAATTCACAGAATTTTGATGTGGCTTCACATCTATCCGTTTTTTCCTAATATCTAACAGAGAAAATGCTTCATAAGAGATGTCCTAACATAAACATTTAAAAATAATAACTTGGGATACAGTAATACTGCCATTGGGCCAACTCCCTCAGCATTTTTATTCTTAGAATGAACGATTCCAGATGACGCATGATGTTTAAGTTAGTAACTCAAAGTAAGCACTGTCTGTCAGAGACTCAGCATCCATTGATATACTGGAGGAAAACAGGTGTGCTATCATTTGGCAGTAAGTGTTGTATAGACCTGTACCCTTTGATGCAGTAACACTGATTCTAGGAAAGTACCCCAAGGGAATAATTTAGTAGAGTAAACATTTAGATTCATTAAGCTATTCATTACAGTATATCTTAACACACAAAACAGAATAGAGCAAATGCCCAACTCCAAGGACATAAGGAAGTGGTTAAGTGTTACTGTTGTTGTTAGCTGCCCTTGAGTTGATTTCAGCTCACGGTGACCCCATGTGTGCAGAGTAAAGCGGTGCCACAGCGTTTTCAAGCCTGTGACCCCTCGGAAGCAGACTGCCAGGCCCGTCTTACGAGGCACCTCTGGCGGGGTTCGAACCACTATCCTTTCAGCTAGCAGCCAAGTGACCAACCATCTGTGCCACCCAGGGACTCCACCGTGGTTAAGTAAACGCTGGTAAATCAAATCAAATGAAGTATTATCTGATTGTTACAGATTATACTCATGCAAACCATTGTGTGCTATGCAGACATTTTTATAGACTGCTGAATAAGAAACGCAGACTGTACAATAGCTATACGTGAAAATATCTGAACTTTTCTCATTAATAAAACACGGAGACAAATTCACGAGGAGCCCTGCAATAGTGTGTGACTGTGTGAACCACCAGGGCTCTGTATGTGGACTGTCAGGCAGTCGGTGGAGGCTCCTTGCAGGCAAGAAGCACAGTACAGCAAAGGCAGAGGCAGGCATGAGAAAAACGTGTGAGAAGACCACCGAGACCTCGCAGAAGGGGTAGGAAGGTGCCACTCCAGGACCTGCAGCTGAGTGGGTGGGAGTTACACACTGCTGCGGGGCTCCTCATGAATCTCTCTCTGCATTTTATTAATGAGAAAATTTCAAACACTTTCACTTATAGCTATTACACTTGACTACTAACTAAAGGGCCGGCAGTTTGAATTCACCCAGACACACCTCAGAAGAAAGGCCTGGTGACCTCCTTCTGAGAAATCAGCCATTTAAAACCCTATGGAACACAGTTTTACTCTAACACATTGAGTCGACTCAATGGCAGCTAGTTTTATGGTTTTTATCCACATGCACCACTTTGTTCAGAACCTAGCTCAATCCCACCCATTTCAAAAAGTTATCTGCTACCCTTGAAATGTTTGCATTCTCAGACAGACTGTGAATTCCACAGAGACAGTTATTTTTAGCATGTGCAATAGATAATAAATATATGGTTTTGAATGAATTAATCAATGAACTAAATAAACTCTTGAGAGCAAGGGCCATTTCTTATCTTTATATCCATACTACTTACCATTAAACTAGGCAAACAAAACTATCAACAGCTCTTCACTAAACAAGTGGATAAATGAATATATGTGCATTGTTACACACCCCTGCTGGCTGCAATACAAGAATACGTTTTTCTTACCAGTCCTTTCTCCCTCTTCTGCTTCTATGAAACATCAGATAAGGTTCTCTTCTAAAAGAAAGACCATCGGTGGAGAGCACTTACCCAGGTCAAACTGGCCAGAAACGTAGCCACAAGTCTGCCGGATCTCCTCACTGTCCCAGCCCAAGGGGTAGAGGGCACAGCCTGCGCCGATCAGCAAGCCTGCAGAAAGATAAGACAAGAGGGCTTCACCAATGCCCCTCTGCATCCCCAGACAAAGGCAGCTGGAAAAAATCAGTACTTAGCAATATAACAAAAACCATGGCATCTGCCCTTGGAAGGAACCAGCCCCAACTCCCTGAAGCAATCTAAGGTCAGTTTGATTCTAAGAACAATTTCAAGTCTGCTTAAAATAAATAATAATAAAAGGAAAGGTTGACAGACAGCTCAGCTTGGTTCCAGCTTTGCCTTTTAAAGCATTAAAAGCCTTGCAAATTCTACTTAGAAAATACAACCCAGAAGCCCTTTTAATCACTCTTGTAAAAAGCCAACAGACCCCACCATCAATCCTTGTAAACAAGTAATTCAAGAGCAAGCAAAAGTAGCTAATAGGTTATGCTTCGTCATTCACTAGATTTTTTTTCCAATTTAAAAATCAAAATAGAATGTTTCCTGTCATCAAATTCTACCAGGGGAAGCAAGAACACAAAGGTTTTCATAAACCACTTCAGCACACTGGTTGAACCTGTGAACTGCACCACCCGCTACTCTGCTCTGTGGGAGGTTCAGAGTCACGGAGCACCCGCAGGTCTCAGAAACGCTCTAGAAGACAGACACTTCTTGTAATTTAAGAACTTCTCTGTACAACTAAAACCAAAAGGTTTGACGGTTAAACTGAAAAAAAGTGATGGTGTTATCTTAGTATAAATTACGGCAGCCCACACGGAGCTGACAGCCTTCAATGGGAGAGCCTTCAGTTTTTCATCAAAGCTTAATGTAATTTTTGAATGCCCTTGAACTGTGGTGTTGGCGAAGAATATTGAGTATACCGTGGACTGCCAGAAGTATGAACAAATCTCTCTTAGAAGAAGTACAACCAAAATGTTCCTTAGAAAGGAGGATGGCTAGACTTCAGCTCACTTACTTTGGGCATGTCATCAGGAAAGACCAATCCTTAGAAAAGGATATCATGTTTGGTAAAGCAGAGGGTCAGCAAAAATGATGGAAACCCTCAGTGAGATGGAGTGGCCAATGGCCTCAACAATGGATTCTACCATCCCATCGATGATGAAGATGGTACAGGACCAAGCCACCTTTTGTTCTTTCATACATAAAGTCTCCGTGAGCCGGAGCCAACTCGACAGCAGCTAACAACCACGCCAGTAACCACTGTGGTTTTACAAGAAGCTGAAGTAGAGTTAAGCACTCACCATTTGAATCTGTAGGTGAATTTGAAAGTCACACTACCATGTCTCATCAATCAGTGAATGTTATCATCACCTCTTAGTACCACAGACATGCTGACCCAGTAGGGCCAATGTGTACACAGTGATTGGTGAGAACACGGTTCCAGTCTGAGGGATGCAAGTTAGAGGGTGCTAACCAGGGAGCCCCCTAAACGTGAAAATCCACTGACATGGGAATGCAGTGGAAGAATGACAAGACTCCAAATGCAGCCAATGGTGGAGACCTTCAGTATTTCTGGAGAACTTTCAGAGTCTATTTTGAATCGAATCCTTTCTTGTCCCCCTTTTGTCCTTCTACCATCCTGCCCCGGGTGGGTGACTCTGGACATTGTAACCTATACCCCACCACCCATCTGTCAGTTTGTCGTACTGTGGGGGCTTGCATGTTGCTGTGATGTTGGAAACTATGCCACCACTACTTCAAATACCAGTAGGGTCACCCCCAGTAGACAGATTTCAGTGGAGCATCTAGACTAAGACAGAGCAGGAAGAAAGGCTTGGCAACCTACTTATCCAAATTAGCCAACGAACACCCTGTGGATCACAGAATATTGTCCAAGGCTATCATATTTGGTAAAGTGAGGACCAACTAAGACCAGAGAAACCCTCAACGAGATGAACTGACACAATGGCCACAGCACGGGGCGCAAACACACCAACAATTGTGAAGATGTCACAGGATCGGGCAATATTTTGTTATACGTGGGGTGACAATGAGCTGGAGCTGAATGGATGGCAACTAACAACAGCCACCACCCATACAAATAACCTCTGCGTCCTCACAGTCATCTAAGGAGGTGCTGCTCTCTGCCCTCTTCCTTCGTGACCTCCATGCTGGACTGTGAGGAGAGACGTCCTCCCACACTGACACATCCCCTAGGCTGGCACCCTGCCCCAACCTGCCCCTTGGTCTTCAGGAAAACAATCCAAGGGTGCGCTTAGAAAGAATCAACGAGACCGCAAATGTCTCATCTCAGGATGCGCTATACTGCATTTGTACAAATATGAACAGTGCTGGGCTCACGGGTCATCCAGCAAGCCTTAACACGAGCTCTTGCTGGCTAAGCAAATGCCTGACGGCTGGGTTCTCAGGGTTTCTCCCCGCCTTGGGACAGAATTTATAGCATTTTGAAAACAACCCTGAACCATTTTATCCACTATCAGGTAAAGAGATAATTAACCAGGATGACAAAACTTTGTACAAATTAAATTCCGTAAATGCTAATAAACAACGTGGTAACGTCTCCATGATCCTCAGTTTTTAAATTAACAGGAAATGTGACATTGTGCGATCTCACTGGGAGTAATATTTTAAGGGATGAGAAATGCAGAAAGGCGGTTCAGCAGAAAGTGTTCAAGTGTAAGAAAAATGCAAAGCGGTAACATTAAAACCAGCACTAGTTTTCTCTTTATCATATAAGGAAACAAAAGATAACGAGTTTCACTTGCTAGTCTTCTTTTCAACATAGCTGAAAAGTATGTGGCATGTACTCATGAAGGCACCTACTGTGGGCCAGTATTATGTTCCGTGCTGCGGAAAGATGAATGGAGGGGAGCTTGTAAAGTCCTGCCTATGGAGCAAGCAGACAGCAGTTTGCCAACAGGCTGTCAGGGATCTTTCGCTGACTATCAGCTCTCTGTGACACCACAAAATGTAGATTCAACCATATAAGTTAGGAACAATTTTATACACAGGAAATTTGTGTTAACAAACACAAGCATAGGTACACATTAAACAAAAAGTCGTTCAGCTGAGGGCAACTGACTTATCTGAATTTTTATATTAATATTTATATAGTACCTGTTTGTTTTGTCATCTGCTAACATTTGCTAACAGGGAAGATACTGCAGACTCAGAAGTTCTGAGAAATATTTCTGGGAGGAAAACGTGTGTTGCGAATGATCAGGCCAACAGGCTGTCACAACTGTTAGGCTCTACAGGCAAACATCAGTGGTCCCCCCACCCCCCCATCTTGCTACCGCTGTGTCTGATGAGGAAAGCAGGTCTCAGACCAAATTCAGCCAAATTCCTAAGTGTCTATTAGCAAGCTGGCACAAAAAGCAGTCAGTCAGACAACCAGTTCTGTAAGCTTTGTGAAATCACCTCCAACCCCATCATACAGTCATTCTAACAAGCACCTCACATGGAAGTTTCCATATATGAGAAACACAACAAATATTCAGACAGCAGGATCAGGTAAACTTCAGGCCAGATCAGGCAACAGCATCTTCTGTTAAACGGAAGGAGGGAGGGGACACAGGACCAGGGTCCTAGACCTGCACTGACCAATGCAGTAGCTACAAGCCACAAGTAGCTATTTAAATTTAAATCAATCAAAATGAAATAAAATTAAAATTCAGTTCTTCAGTTGAGCTAGCCACATTTCAAGTGTTCTATAGCCGCACATGGATAGTGGCTACTATACTGAAGATACAGAATATTTTCATCATCACAGAAAGTGCTACTGGGCAAGGCTGTTCTGGACTTAGAACAGCACTTCCAAAGGATGCTGGGCTTGCCAGGTCTTACACTCTATGCCTGATGTTGCTTATTAATGACAGAAGCATCACTGCTCTTTTAAATTCTTTCTAATTGGGGCTGGAAGTCAAACCGACATTTTGCAAACCCTCTTACCAACAGGATTCCTGGTTCATATTGTGTCCAGGAGAAGCATTTGTGGGATTTACAGGGTACAACAGAGGGCTAAGCCGCTACTCTCCATTGGCAGCTGCAGCCGGGGCATGGATTTCTGCCGACAGCAGTTTGGGCAGTGGCTTCCAGAAGTTCCTCTGACAACCACTCGCTGAGTGCTGCGGAGCATCAGTGGAAGTTTCCTTTGATCCCGCACTTCATCTGTAAATATCTGCATTACATCCCTTCCTACCTGAAATGCACAGAATGGTATCTCTTCAATGACCAACCCTGACTGATACATAACCTATCTTTATACGCCACTATATTCTTGACTATCACTCATTTCCTCAATTAAAAATGATTTCTAACCCATCTTATGCTAATTAATGAACCTCTGGGGGTGAGTACAAATAGTGATATTCAAAAGGTTTGTCTGAACCACCTCTGTGGTTTGGTCTCTAGATAGGGAATTTAAAATGCTAATTAACCTCTCCTGGAATATGGATTTATGAAGAGGATACTTCAAATGCTAGCTAACCATGTGGATTAGAGTCAACAAGCATCTTAGTGTCTACACTGAAGTTCTGTAAGTATATAGTATTGTAGAGACATTAAACTTAAAATTAGTAACATGCTTTTAATTGAAAGAATGTGCCATTATTCAGTTTTAGCCATGTTAAATCTTAGTCCCTATTACGGAGATGGAAGCATAGTTTTAAAATCTCTAAATTAGATGTTGTTGTCGGTAGTTGCTGTCAAGACAATTCAACTCACGGTGACCCCACGTGACCACCTGGATATTATACCATATGTTGAAAGGAGGCCCAGAGAAGAAAATGAACTTCAAAATGGGCATGCTTGGGGAACATTTAATGAAGACATTAGGATTTTAGCTTGTCCTGGAGATTTACATGGAAAATGAGAAGGCATTCCAAACGAAGAAAAAGGCATTACCGAAATATTAATGGTGGGAAAAACTGTGGCTTGGAAGAGGATGGAAGGGCAAAGAAGGTCATAGTGAAGAGGTAACACTGACTGTGAACCAGAAATCCTGCTAGCAAGACCATTGGTAAAATGTAGTTTTCTGACATCCAGCCTCAGTTAGAGAGAATTTAAAAGAC